TCTGTCCTGTAATTTAAAAATGGAATGACCTTTTACTTCGAAACATGGCTATCGAGGAGGTAACTAATACAAGGTTTTATTTAAATTTCGAAATTTTGCAAATTGCTAGGCTTGCAAATAGAAAGCTGTTTATTGAAAAAAAAAAACAAAGGAACATTATGGCGCGTGAAAAATTATTATTGTTCGTTATTCGTCATAGAACTTAAAAATTAAAATTGTTTTTGATTTCCGCGCATTGTTTGAGAAAAGTAATATACAAGCCTTGGCCACAATTAGGCATTGGTTGACTCACGTATGTGTGCCTCGGCTACGCCTCGGCCCACATTTGCACGTTCGTCCATCAGTGCCTCAGTTGTTGGCCGCTGCAGTAATGTACTATTCTGTTTTGCCAAAGGTTGACTGCGAGAGAATGCTATATAGTATTAACCCCGCCTTTGGTCCATAATTTTTTTTTGTAATGTGGTCTATAAAAAAAAATAGTGTGGTAGTTTAGTGGTGAAACTGGTCTTGCAGTTGTAAAGTGCAGGGTTGCAATCCTGGCGTTCTAGATAAAAAGCAATCTTTATTTCCAGCGAGACCGTGATATATGGTGGTGTCCAGTGTCTCATTTCCATTCATGGGATTGCTAGCGATAACGATTCCATCGATGGAATTGCCTGCCACTTTTCTATGGGGCCTAACTAATTCGAGACCATGACGGTGCCGCGAGCGCCTACACCTCGCGCTTAGAGGGTCGAAGCGTGCAATCCGACTACAATTAGACTAGCGCTCGCGTTATAGTCGCTCTTGATTAAGGGTTTCGAATTGGTCCGGCAACTAGTCGAGGTACCAATCGATAGTTAAGTTGTATGTATTTATGTCACATATTTACATGAATGAAACACAGATTAGATCGCTATCTCGGATTTTATTATTTGTATTCTCATTAAGCTAATTATAATAATGATACTTTTATTTGTCATTGATTTGAATGATTTATTTTACAAACAAACATGATTAAACGTAGTAAACAAGCGATTTGAAATTTTGTAATAGGAAATATTCGTAAATATCCTAAAGCAAGGGGTGCCAAAGTGGGGAGCGCGGTGACTGGCAAATGGGTGCGTGGACCATATTTTTATACGATTTGAAATGGCAAATAAGCCCACAGGCTTATCTGTAGTGTCAATATTGCTAATATCAGTAATATAATATGTATATTATAATTATTGTTTTGTTATTTCAATTTTTTTTTTATATTTACAACGTGCGTGCATGCGTTGCGTGAATTTACAGGGTACAGAGGAATAACACCTGAGTCCTCAGGAGTGGCAACGCATGGGGTATCATGGAAAAAACAATATACTCTGTTATGTCCACGGTACTGCTCATGTCTATAGGCGACGGTTACTACTTTCCATCAGGTGGGCCGTCAGCTCGTTTGCCATTCTAAGTTGTATAAAAAAAAATATTACGTTAACCCTTCTTTGCATGATTTTTTTTATTGGTGAAATCAAAGTCATATAATCAAAGTGATATAATTAATGTTTAAAATTAAACGAAAAATGGTTAAAACAATAAATTTGATAGCTTTGTTTTTTTTCTGCAATGGACATTAAAAAATTATTTAGACACAACTTAAAGTGAACTTGGTCGTTTATATAAGTTTTAGGCATTCAATGTTATGATGGAAATTTCCACCAGTGTGCAAAGAAGGGTTAACTAACTGTTGAATCAGCTGTCTAATACTAAACATAGCTTTGCCCGTAAGAGGGGTTTTGCCAGTAGTTGCCACGCTTAGCAGGCGAGTTTGACAAGCTTAGTTAGGATTTTGGATATGTTTTAAGAGAGACACTGCTGCCCATCTCTCACTAAAACGTAGTTTGACATAATAGATACATATTTATTACAGTTTTAAACTGGAGTCCTATATATAAAACTTTGAGAACAGTTGCTCTAATGTGATATGCTTATCGTATGCAGTTTAGGTACGTTAACCTTTCTCCATGAGTCCATGACTAGTGTGATAAGGGCTGACAGCCAGATATTTGTTATATTATATAGTTATTTTGAATTTTCCATTAAGACTTCCAACTTTATCCATCCATGCTATGTGGTCCACCTGATGGAAATTGGCAACCATCGCATATAGGCGTAACAGCACCGTGGACATAAGGGTCATAATAATACACTGTGATGCATGGGCCATGGGGTGCCTCTCATACGTTTCCATTTCTAGGTTATTATTATTATATCAGCCTTTAACTGTCCACTGCTGGACATAGGCCTATCCCATAAAGAGGCTGTTGCCAATTGTTGTCACGCTTGGCAAGCGGGTTGGTAACCGCAGTTAGGTTTTGATGATGTCTTAAGAGGGACGCTGCTTAAATTCCCTTAGTCGCCTCCAATGATACCCATGGGACAAAAAGGGGTGTCCCATTCTATGCTAGGATCACACGGCACATTTCTGGTTCCTGTAATGTTATACCCGTCCGTTATATAAATCCGTACCCTGTAATTTGATGGTTTTCAGGTGGGACCACGAAGAGGTCGACCTAATAGGGTGTATTGCTAGTAATGGGGCTGTCCAATTCATCTCCAAGGCTCCATTACTAACAGTCCCTTTCCTCCCGGAGCCCTTCGGGTAGAACTTAAAGATAATTAAAGAACAAATCATATATATATATATATATATATATATATATATATATATATATATATATATATATATATATACAATATATATATTTTCTCAAACATGCTTGGAAATGTGAGCATTATTTTGACAATCTTTTTTGAGATAAATCAAAATTGGCGTTGATGAACTCAAGTATGTGTGCCTCGGCTACGCCTCGGCCCACATATGCACGTTCGTCCATCGATGCATCAGTTGCTGGCCGCTGCAGTAATGTACTATACTTACTTCTTTTATTAACTAAACTAAGAGTAGAATAAATAAAATATAAAGAATGCTGCTTGTTGAGAGGTTGCTTATATAGAGCGTTCATTGTATTATTTTATTGTATTTTACAATAACAGGAAAATTTACAGTAACTATTAATACATTACAGTACTAAGTTGCTTTCCGGGACAGTTTCGAAATGCTTCATACAGAACTAGTACGGCGCATTCTTATCGTATTCGAGTCACGGTTCGGTGCGTTTAAAATTATAAACGCCGGTGATATACAAGTTAGTAGCTTCCTATGCGTGTCTCACAATAAACAACATACAAATTGTTGTGAGCATAACTGCCGTCAATTCAGGGCTTGTAGGCCTACCATGAAATGATATCCGATATTTCGGGGACGAACTAAACAGAAATTTGATGTTAAAATTACATAATACATGCTTTAAAATTATTAAAAATGTTAAAATATCGTTCCTCTGGACTATTAGGATAGGATTTATGATGAATGAAATGTTAAGCTCCATTTACTGGCTCGATTTAGGTACGAACAAAAACACGAAATTGAGCCCGAAAATTCGGAATTTCATTTCATGGTAGACCACGTGTTGTCCTTCTCGCGTAGTAAAAATTATCAAATTTGTACAGTAATATTTATATAATATAACATTTAGCTTGTTTGTCATTCTAAGTTGTATAAAAAAAAATGTTTTTCGAAATTTCGGGTCCGAATGAAACACAAATTTGATGTAAAATTACATGATGCATACCGTTTAAAAATATTAAAAATGCTAAAGTATCGTTCCTTTGGACTTTTATGGTAGGATTTATGACGAACGAAATGATAAGCTCCATTTACTGGGCTGATTTCGGTATGAACAAAAACACGAAATTGAGTCCGAAAATTCATTTCATGGTAGACCTCTTGTTGTCCTTCTCGTTTAGTAAAAACTATCAAATTTGTACAGTTATATCAGAATGGTTCCACAAAAAAGACTAACTTAATTTTAAATTATAACCAGGAATTTTGATATAAAATCTAAACTACTAAATAGATTTTTTATAAAATTTCTATATTTTTAATTCAAACTCTTTCCATAAAAAAATCAAAGTATTTTTTATGGAAAGAGGGAGACTTTGTACAAAAGTCGATTGCTTGGGTACCTCTGGTCCTATTCGTGTTGCAACCGTAAAGCAGTTGGCTTGGCTGTGTTTCGGTTTGAAGGGTGAAATATGGCGTGAATTTACTGGGTACAGAGGAATAACACCTGAGTCCTCAGGAATGGCAACGCATGGGGGATATCATGGAGGAAACAGTATACTCTGTTATGTCCACGGTACTGCTCATGTCTATACCACTTTCCATCAGGTGGACCGTCAGCTGCATAAAAAAATTGTATAAAAAAATAAAAGCTACTTGTTTGTTTAAAATAAATAAATAAATACTTGTTAATTATTGGTTCCAATATACATGTTTACAATCGATTAAGATTGTTCCTGTGTTGATTCTATTAATTATTTTTATATCCCTTTTTATTTTACTACTACTTGTTGTGAAACAGATCTATCTATTGACATGAATTTCGAAAAAAAAAACGTAGTTTATTGTTTATAGTGTTTCGCTGGTGAAAAGACGTTCCCCAACCACTTCCACATCTCACGGTCGCTGACCAAGCCGTATCACTTCTTGTGTTACCGGTCGTAACAGAAACCGGTACTGGTTTCTTCATCGCGTACGAGGTTATCCACGACTAGTGTTGCCAGGTGTCCCGATTTGCGCGGGATGTCCCGATTTTCAGGGGTCTAGGGACGCGTCCCGATTTGTACCTGATCGGGACGCTAAATGTCCCGATTAATCAAAAAATTAAAAAGTTTTTTCATAAAAAAATGTATAATTACGCTACGTATATTACTACGTATTATGTATTACAAGACTATTTTTTTTATACAACTTAGAATGGCAAACAAGCTGACGGCTCACCTGATGGAAAGTGGTAACCGTTGCCTATACACATGAGCAGTACCATGGACCTGGCAACACTACTCCTGACCTCCTTTGATTTGTAATGAGTCTATAAGAAAGTAAATTGAAAGGATTGTCATTTAATTTCCAGAAGGCATCGCATGTGGCCAGGCGTGGATCGCCTCCGGCCGCGATGGCGGGTGGGTGCGCGTGGTCGCGGCGCGTGGCCGCACGCGTGCGCACCATGCGCAGTTTAGTGCGCGACACGGAACGTGCACTGCGCGACGTTGTTGACATACTCAGCGTTGGTGAGTTTAGATTTGTATTATATATTTTTTTATTTAATTAGCATGCAAATACATTAAAAAAAAACACTATGATTTTTAGTACTATTTGAATCTCTTGGGCTTGTGTGTGGTACTTTACATGTCGTTCTCAAATGTCAATATTTACATTAATATTCTGCTGTTTTAGCAAGATTGGACAGTAAATAAGCTTTCAGTTTAAATTTTATTGTAGATTGAATGATGGAATTATCGAAGTAAACCCTTTATTAAATCACTCGACCAATTTAGATGTTTTTAAGCGAGACACGTATGAAACCAGTCTATGAAAGTTAATGGAACAGAGATTGTCTCTCGCACTCGAGTCTCTTTTTCTACTCCGCGAGAGACTTGGCGTGAAATAAATTGTGAGATAAAGTTGCAATGATTATAACATTTTGTTTCACAAAAAATCTACTTCAATCTTGAGATTAGTACGTGTCAAATATTACTTCGAATGGTGAGCGTATGCTTTTATATCCGAACTGCCATACGGCAGTGACATTGCAGGGTTCGGATACGTAGAATAAAATAGAAATATTTATAATCAAATATACTTGTTTACAAGCTCTTTTAAATCGTTAATTTTTTTATGATTCTACTACTGTGTTAGGTATGTTGTTGTTTGGGAAGGAAAACCCGTAAGAAACTCAACAGCTACTCTTTTTAAATGATTAAGTACAAGATATTTTATATTTGTATGGGCATTGTGATTATAATTAGCATTGGGTTACTATGTATGTGTGTTATTTAATGGGAAATAAACAGCACTGGTTCATGAGTATGACGGATTAGCAAGCCATCATTGCGTTCAACCATATTTAAGGCTCAACAATCGGGCCAAATGCATTGCCATAATATTTGAGTCCTCAGGAATGTCAACTCATAAGAACTACCATGAGTATTACAGTATATCTGTGATGTTTGTAGTGATATTTATGTCTATAGGTGACGGTTTCCATATTCAATCAAGTGGGCCGTCAGCTTCTCAGCAAAAGAGTCAGCTCTTAAAATCCAGGCATTTATCATTTCCAGATCTGGACATATCTGTAACAGTCCATGAAATCGGACACTTGTCAGCCCGTTCCACAGCCTTGGTCATATTCGGCACCAGTCCATCAGCGCGAGCACGTCTACTCCACTGTCTGCTGGGCAGGAAGCTGCTCCCGGAACCGACTCCAAGAGGCTGTCGATGGGTATGGTTTTACTGTTATTTTTTTATACATCCTAGAACGAACCTGATGAAAAGTGGTAACCGTCACCTATAGGCACGGTTTATTACCATGAACGCCAAATACCCCTCTGTGTATGATACTATGTATGTAGCTACCATAGAATATTAGGGCAGTCAGCAACGTTCCTTTTGTCACAGCAAATGCTGAATGGTGATCACGTTGCTAATATTGGCAATATAAAGTAATACAGGATATATTAATAGTACTTATATGTATTGAGTAATATTTCTAGTATATATTATAATTTGTTAATATTTTAACCTACTTATTTGTGCTTATATATTGTGAATAAAGATTTATTCATTACCACATTACATTCCAGAATTGATATGGTACTGTATGTATAGTACTTAGTTTTTGTTTGGGAGACTTTGTACAAAAGTCGATTGTTTGGGTACATCTGTCCAATTCGTGTTTCTACCGTGAAACAGTTGTGTTTGTATGGCTGTGCATCGGTTTGAATGGTGGGATATGGTGTGAATTTACAGGGTACAGAGGAATAATACCTGTGTCCTCAGGAATGGCAACGCATGGGGGGTATCATGGGCGAAACAGTATACTCCGTTATGTGCATGGTACTGCTCATGTCTGTAGGCGACGGTTACCGCTTTCCATTAGGTGGGCCGTCAGCTTATTTGCCATTCTAAGTTGTATAAAAAAAAGCTGACTGGGCACCAGTGAGGGATGACAGGTGAGGATGAAAGTAGGTTAGCTGGCTTATTGTGGTGAATTTAACAAGGCTTAACCACGATAGTTTGCAGGGGAAATCGCGTGGACGTCTACCTGATTGGGTATATTGCAACGGGGCTGACCCCATTACTATTTATTTATTTATTTAACTCTTTGTTGCACCATAAATAAAAATATACAATGACAAGTGAAATACAGTAACATAAATACAGATTGAAATATACATATAAAGGTACAAAAGGCGGTCTTATCGCTAGGGCAATCTCTTGCAGACAATCTTTGGTTAAAGGAAAACAGATAGAAAAGGGCAGGTGGCGCAAGAGTGAATGTGTCTGTGTGTCTGTCCATTATGTCAGACATTATTATGTCTGTCCCACCTCAGTATCTAGTAACTTCACTATCTGCATATCATGATAGAGAACAGCTATGCTAGCATAATTTCTTAGCATAGATTCACCAGTTACCAGTTACAGTTCACCAGATAGCATAGACAAAGGAATTAATGCGACGAATTAAGACGACTCTGGTATATGTATGATTGTTTCGCAAATTGTCTGAGTGGATTTGTATTTCTATAAATCACTGGTTAATATCCGGCTCGAAGGACCAAAATACATAAAAGGATCTTTGGTGTACAAGAAGCAAATTACAGTTTCTATTTTTTTTTTTCCAATTTTATTTGGAGACACGTTTGTTACATAAAAAATAGCAATAAGTCCGCCATGTACTAATGAATATTATTCATAATAAAAATAAATAAAATAAAAATACATCGGAAGAGAGTGACACTACAAAGTTGCCATATTTAAAATATTATATATTGTTGCTATTTCCAATACAGCATAGTAGTGATATTTTTCCAGCTGCGTATCCAGTACGGTAGTACGACGCAAGTGCACCTCACGCTCGGCAACTCGGAGTTCGAGTTTGTCGAGGAGTTGGTATGCAACAAGGGACCGTGGGAGACACTGCCCATAGAGGTATAGGTTTTATTAGTCTATTAATATTATAAATGCAAAAGCGTGTAAGGATGGATGGATGGATATTTGTTACTTTTTCAAGCACAAACTACTGGAGTGATTTGATGAAATTTCTTACACGGCTATAGTATATTTAGGATACCTTATGTAGTAATTGATTCATGCAGGCGAGGCCTCCGGATGCTGCTGATCATAGGTTACAGCGGTATCCTTTTTTTTTGATAGGTGAAAATGGAATGGTGACTCCGCCTTCGCTAACAGTATACGCTGGCGGAGCACCAGTGAAAGGTGTTCGATGAAAATGAAAACAGGCTAGCCCATCATGATGTATTCATCAGGAATTAACGATGATAGTTTCCAGGGGGAATCGCGTGAAGGTCGACCTGGTTGGGTATATTGCTAGCAATAGGATTCTCAATCTCCATTACTAACAATTCCTGTCTCCCCCAGCGGTCTTACTACCGGCGGAGTGGTAAGACTAGTGGCCGCTTCTATATTAGACTCAAGTGATACAATCAAGCATAGGCTAGGACCATTGTTTAAACCTGAGTATATTAGTACATATAATTCTCATACTAATTCCAGGATCTACTCCGCCAGGACCAAACAGACCTGGCCACGATGCTAGAAGTGGAATTGAACAATACATTCCTGAAAGATGGCCTCCGAATCGTCGTGCCTCCCGATATCTGCGACCCTGGATCTTTAAATCTCGAAACCCTTAAGAAAATGCACTCCGAATTATACTCCAAACGGGATCTGATACTCAAAAACTTTAATCCGGTCTACTTATATGCCATAGACAAATTAGGGAAGAGTGTGTTCAGTGAAAACTTTGTCTTTGGTTCAATGGTGACGTCACACAGTGAGGAGGATTTTTGGAATATGTTTAATTTGTACAGTGGGAACAATGGTGGTAGTGATAAGAGTGTTGTGCCTGATAAGGAGATGGTTGTGGAGGGGGGCGGGGATGATGCCGTGTTCTCGCCTGAGGTTGGCACTTTCTGAATATTTTTACTTTTTTTATGCAACTTAGAATGACAAACAAGCTGACGGCGCACCTGATGGATAGTGGTAACCGTCGCCTATAGACATGAGCAGTACCATGGACATAACAGAGTATACTATGTCATTTAGGATACACTTCACGCGTTCCATTCCTGAGATCTAAGGTGGTGTGCCTCTGTATCCTATATTATCACTTCCATACCTCTTTAAACCGAAACTGCTTCACGGCACAAACACGAATGAGACAGAGGTACCCCAGCAAACGACTTTTCTACAAAGTCTCCCTCTTTCTTATAGTATTAGTGTTTACGCCTGCGTTATCGGTATACACTGACGGAGCACTAGTGAGTGATGATAGATGAGGATGAAATCAGGTCGATGGACCCATTGTGATGAATTCACCAAAAATTTGTCCCGATAGTTTCCAGGGAGACCGCGTGAAGGCCAACCTGTAATCCCTCCCACCCTTCTCCACTAGCGATACACCCTAGAGCAATACACCTTATCAGATCGACCTCTGTGCTGCTCCCCCTGGAAACCATAGTGGTTTCCATAAATCTTGTTCAATCGATCACTATGGACCAACTGTCCTGCCTTCCTGCCTTCCTGCCTTCCTGCCTTCCTGCCTACCTCACCTGTCACTCTACACTGGTACCCCGCTAGCGTATACCGAAAGCGCAGGTGGGGTTACCATTCCATCTTTGGTCATTAAAAAAGAAAAAAATCTTCTCTGTACCCCATAATTTTGTAATCATATTTTCATCCTTCAAAACGCTGTTGCATAATCGAAACCTAGGTAGGGCAAAGGGACAAACATACTCATGCATATATTTTGCCCAGTCTTTCTCTAGTAACTTTCCAGAATGTGCCCTAACATTTGGTAAATGCCACATTCCAGAATTGCCTGGACCTCCATCAAATTAAAGAGATCAACTCAAACAGCCAGGTCCTCTTCGTTCTCTTCTCTGACAGCATGGACCTAGAAGAGATCACAAGAGATAGAAATGAAGCGACCGAGTCCACCGAGGATGCAGTATACAGTGTTGAGGATTTGCCAGAGTCGGATCAAGTACTGCGAGGAGTATTAAGGTTTTTTATTATCATTAATATTATCATCACCACTTTTCCAAAAAGGATTGACGTCAGGCAGGCGGCCGATCGAAAAACTATAAGCCAATTTTTTTTTATACAAGTTAGAGTGGCAAACTAGCTGACGGCCCACCTGATGGAAAGTGGTAACCGTCGCCTATAGACATGAGCTGTACTATGGACATAACAGAGTATACTGTTTCGCCCATGATACCCCACATGCGTTGCTATTCCTAAAGACTCAGGTGTTATTCTACTGTACCCTATAAATTCACTGGCATATCCCACCCTTCAAACCGAAACATGCAAACACAGCCATGCAAACACAACTGCTTTACAGTTGAAATAGTGTTCTATTTCTAACTAACCAATATTTATTATAGTCTTTGATATTTTCAGACAAACACAAGAATCTCCAGTAAGCAATATATCCATAGAGAATAGAAGACTGCTAGAGGAACAATTAGGTTTTATGAACGATTTATTGGATCAGTGGGAGTTATTGTGTGAGTATATATCATAAAACTTTATTTATTAATTTAAATAACATTTACTAAAGGAAATATGGTAGAAAATGCGGTCTTAATGCTAGTAGCATTCTCTACCAGTCAACCTCTGGGATGAACAGTGGATCACCAACGCGCTACTTCATTATTGGGATAGGTAAACAACTAATGTACGTTAGCTGATCTCGTGAACTTCGTACCGCCTAACAGTCGATTCTGGGGGGAAAGGAATTGTTAGTAATGGGGTCTAATAGCCACACTGCTAGCAATATGCTCGACCTCCATGCGGTTCCCCCTGGAAACCATCATGTTTAATACGTGTCGAAATCATCATGGTGGGCCAACTGATCTGCATTCATTCTGACCTATCATTTTCCACTGGTGCCTCGTCGGTGTATACCGATAGTGCGAGCGGGGTTACTATTTCATTGTCACCCATTAAAAAAAAAAACAGTCGATTCTTTATGGTTTTTTAAATACTTATTCTGCTATTTGGGACTCCGGGGCAGTAAGTAAATAAGTAAACAATTACATTATGTCGAAAAATAAAAATTATAAAACACGCCGTGCTACGTCACTTGATTGTTTTGCCTTCCCGGAACCTCTCCACTAACACTTGAACTTTATAGTATGGTATTAAAGTTGAAATTGACTTTTAACTATTATTACGAATCGTTTGTATAGGAATATAGAAAAGTGTTGCTTTTAGACTTTTACCGGGATTTTTTTTTATTTTCTCCATAACCATTCTCGTACTTCAAGGGATTTTCTAAAAAAATAATTAGCGAAATCGGTTCAGCTGTTCTCGAGATTTGCGCTTAGCAACACGTTTTAGCGATATATTTTTTTTAAATAAATCATTTCGTTGTGTATTTTTTTTAATATTAAACAAGTGTCCCACACTACTACTAGTGCGCGTTTTTTAATAATAATAATAAACTTTATTAACAAATACAGGGTTGCATAGTTACATGTTTTTTGCCCTAGCTTACAAATTAAGGTAACCTGTGCCTTGTAACCCAGTTCCTTCCAACACACAAGAACTAATAATTTTTAAAATGCTGTTTTTTTTTTTAATGATAGTTAGTTTTTTATTCCAGCCAGTCCACCTCAGAAACATTACGTTAAAAGTCAAAAGTTGATAATCGACGACGTAGAACTACTGAGAACGGTAGACACTAAGAGTCTAGCGCCATGCTTGAACAATTCGAGACAAAGTGCCGGCGAAACGTTAACGAAGGGCAAAGACGGTGATATTGTCGTGAGAAATAGAACAGTACTGTTGAATACGGTATTGAAATTCGCCACCGATTGTATGCTGAGTTACCTGTTGGAATACAGTACGCGGCTTAGTGAGGTGAGTGTTGTGTATTACATTACATTACATTACACATATATTACATTACACATATTACATTTAACCCATCTTTGCATAATGGTGGAAATTTCCATCGTAACATTGAATGCCCAAAAATTATATAAAAGACCAAGTTTAAGTTGATCGTGTCTGGATACCTTTTTAATGTCCATTGCGGAAAAAACAAAACATAATTATAGTTGGCCCACATATTTTTAATTAATTTATAGTACATTACTGCAGCGGCCAGCAACTGAGGCATTGATGGACGAACGTGGAAATGTGAGCCGAGGCGTAGCCGAGGCACACATACGTGAGTCCATCAATGCCTAGTTGTGGCCAAGGCTTGTATAGTACTTTTCTCAAACAATGCGCGGAAATCAAAAACACACTTTTACTTTTTAAGTTCAATGACGAATAACGAACAATAATAATTTTTCAAGCGCCATAATGTTCCTCTGTTTTTTTTTTCAATGAACAGCTTTCTATTTGCAAGTCAGTTCGAAATTTAAATAAAACCTTTTATTAGTTACCTTCTTGGTAGCCATGTTTTGAAATAAAAGGTCACTTCATTTTTAAATTACAGGACAGATATGAGTTTACATAGTAATTTATCTGGACGCAAAACACGACAGATATGGATTTTCATACAACTTTTGCCGGCCGCTGCCCGCATGTATCTGGCCAATACGGCAATTTTGATGTATCTCGAATAAGATGCTCACATTTCCAAGCATGTTTGAGATTTTTTTTTAATATTCAGATCCATGTGAAGTTACTACAGCAGTTTATACTGGCTTCGTTCGACCTGGCCAGAGAGCTACAAGTAGTGCCAAAGAAGATAAAGTATGTTGCTACACAGGAGCAGCAGCTGTACGAGGTATGTTATTATTAAGAGTCATTACCTGTGACTTTTTTATACAACTTAGAATGGCAAACAAGCTGACGGCCCACCTGATGGAAAGTGGTAACCGTCCCCTATAGACATGAGCAGTACCGTGGACATAACAGTACACACACCCCCCATGTGTTGCCATTCCTGAGGACTCAGGTGTTATTCCTCTGTACCCAGTAAATTCACTGCCATATCCCACCCTTCAAACCGAGACACAGCCATGCAAACACAACTGCTTCACGGTAGAAACATGAACGGGACAGAGGTGCCCAAGTAAACGACTTGTACAATGTTTTCCTCTGGTAATTAGCTAATTGTTGTCATGTATAGTTAATTATTAAATTATTACAGCTGTACGTTTCCTTCAAAAGTAATAAATAAGTTATCTTATCGCTAAAGCAATCTCTTTCACACAACCTTTATATATATTGAAAGAAAGAAAGAAAGAAAGAAAGAAAGAAAGAAAGAAAGAAAGAAAGAAAGAAACTTTATTTTACAAGAAATATGCGGCAACACCCACACAGGGGTTAAAAAAAATCCATATATTAAGAATTATAATAAAGAAACAACACAAAAAATATTTATATATATATAAAAAAAAATAAAAAATGTAATTATTTCAGCTGTTAACAGTCCACTACTGAACATTAGCCTTTCCCAGAAAGGGAGTTTTGCCAGTAGTTGCCACGCTTGGCAAGCGTAATAATGTGTACTTTTCTATATGTACGGTGTTACCAAATTATCTACATTCCCTTTAAAGGGCTTATAGTATTACGCATATATGATAATGATAGAATTTCGTATCTCAAATGTCATAAGAAATTTTTCAAAAGAAAAAAAAAATGTAAATTTTTGTTACGCTAAAACTGACGGAGTGAGTGCGACCAACGATGTGATAGAGAATAGTATAGTTATGAGAACGTTTTACTTTTTAATTAAGAAATTTAAGTATTACATCATTTAATTTTTTTTAAATAATTACATACTACATAGATATAAAATTCCTTCTTTATCGTAATGTATATATATCCAATACTATGTCCTGTAGTAGAGAATGCAGATAATTTGGTACCACCTTATATATTTTATATATAAGGTGGCAAACAAGCCTACAGCTCGTCTGATGGTAAACGGTCACTGTACCGTATGAACTCCTGCAATACTAGGAGTGTCACGTGCACGTTACCGACCCTGAAGAAACTTTAATATACTCTTTTTGAAGAACCCCATACTGTAGTCTGTAGGGAAAACCTCGGCAGAGACCTCATTCACAGTCTGAGCGTTCGCGGGAGAAATTTCTTTGAAACTGCACTGTACGTGACCATTTAAGTCCCTGTCCATATATTTACAAAAGTTTTATGTTTTCTTACTATGATTATTTCTTGTAATTATTTATATCTATAATAAGTTTACTATTGTTATCTTTTGGAGGAAATAATTCATTTATTTATTTTGTGATATATACATAGGTAACAATGGATGGTAAAACAAGATGAGTCCTCTATGATCAACCTCATATATCGAGGTATACAAACTTGCAATCATATAAGAAAAAAAAATATATATATATATATATATATATATATATATATATATATATATATATATATATATATATATATATATATATATATATATATATATAACAATGTCACATATACAGTGAAAAATTATAGTATTATGGAAATTTATTGTTTACTAGGTATTCATACAGTAATCAGTATCTATCTATATTTAATCAATAAAAAAATTAATTTGTCACCAGACAATCAACAGCAAGTTCACAGAAGGTGACAAGAAGCAGGAGTTGGTGCAGATAATGCAGGACGTGCTGCACGAGATGGCATCAGAAATTAACAGCATGGACTGGAGTGTGGATGGTAATTTTATTTTATTTTCACAACCTTGATAAATAAAAAACCAACGTGTAAATGTGAGCCGAGACGTAGCCGAGGCACACATACGTGAGTCCATCAATGCCTAGTTATGGTCAAGGCTTGTATAGTACTTTAAAGTTCAATGACGAATAACGAACAATAATAATTTTTCACGCGCCATAATGTTCGTTTTTTTTTTCAATAAACAGCTTTCTATTTGCAAGCCAGTTCGAAATTAAAACCTTTTATTAGTTACCTCATTGGTAGTCATGTTTCGAAGTAAAAGGTCATTCCATTTTTAAATTACAGGACAGATATGAGTTTACATAGTAATTTATCTAGCCGCAAAACACGACAGATATGGATTTTCATATAACTTTTGCCGGCCGCTGCCCGCATGTATCTGGCCAGTACGGCAATTTTGATTTATCTCGAATAAGATTATCAAAATAACGCTCACATTTCTAAGCATGTTTGAGAAATGAATATTTTTTCCAGACCTGCCTTACCATCAAGATACGGAATTCATGGTGTCAAACTCGACGTTCTATTCGTCGTACCGTCCGTCCGGTTCCGTCCGGCTCGCGGCTCTGTCGCCCGCGAAACCGGAACAAGCGTCCGACGGCGAGGAGGCGTTGTCGTATAACTGCTATAATTTGGATGAATATGAAATTATACATTCCAACGATGAGAGCTACAACACTACGGACAGCTTCAGTCAATTTAGAGTAAGTGTTCTTTTGTACAAAATTTGCTTATGCACCTCTGTCTCATTCGTATTTTTTTTTAGACAACATAGAATGGCAAACAAGCTGACGGCCCACTTGATGGAAAGTGGTAACCGTCGCCTATGGATATGAGCAGTATCATGGACATAACAGAGTGTACTGTTTCGCCCATGATACCCCCCATGCGTTGCCATTCTTGAGGACTCAGGTGTTATTCTTCTGTACCCAAACTCACGCCATATCCCACCCATCAAACCAGAGGGAAAAAGGATTGTTAGTGATGGGATTTAATAGCCCCATTTCTAGCAATATACCCTATCAGGTCGACCTCCACGCGGTTCCCCCTGGAAATCATCGTAGTTAATCCTTCACAATGGACCAACTGGATTGCTTTCATACTCAACTATTATCTATCATTGATGGTCCGCAAGTGTATACTAATAGCGTAAGCGTTAGCATTCCATTTTCATACATTTAAAAAAAAACCCTCAAACCGAAATACATTTTTTTATACCACTGAGATGGCAAATAAGCATGCGGCCCACCTGATGGTAAGTGGTTACCGTAGCCTATGAACACTTGCAATACCAGAGGTATTACGCGCGCGTTGCCGACCCTGAAGAAACCTCTTTACCCCCCTTTTGAAGAACCCCATGCTGTAGGCTCTTGGGAAAACATCGGCAGGTATTAATAACATGGATGGTATATTTATTTCACAGGCAAAATCCGAAGACAAATCGTCGAACGACTCCCAAATCGGACAGATCATGATAGAGAACGAATCGGAAATATTCTCGCTGTCAAGCGTGAGCTGGACCGGCAACAGCGCGTGCACCAACGCTACGAATATATCTATAAAGGAGGCCTCCTTGGATGTCCAGCAGACAGGTGAGGTAATAAAAAGAAAGGTGTAAAGATTGGACAAAAAAAATTGTAAGTCACTGGTTGGTGGGTGGGTTACTGAGCCAGGTCGATCTCCTCGCGGTTCCCCCTGGAAACTATCATGGTTTTTTTTTTGCTAGATGTAAATGGTATGGTACACCCGCCTGCGCTAACGGGATACACCGGCGGAGCACCAGTGAACGGTGATAGATGAGAATGAAAACAGGCCAGTTAGCACATCGTGATGAATTCATCAGGAATTAACCATGATAGTTTCCAGGGAGAACCGCGAGGAGGTCGACCTTTTTGGGTATATTGCTAGCAATAGGATTCTCAGTCTCCATTACTAACAATCCCTTACCCCCCAAAAAAACTATCATGGTTAATTCTTGATGAATTCATCATGATGGGCTAACTGACCTGTTTTCATTCTCATCTATCACCCTTCACTGGTGCTCCGCCAGCGTATCCCGTTAGCGCAGGCGGGGTTACCATACCATTTTCACCCATAAAAATATATATATATATATAGACGTATACAATAAGTACATGCGAGCACTTGGATAGCATTTATATGATGTTCCAAAAAAACTTACAGTAAGTACTTCATATTACTCTCAATTTCGTGTATAATATAGTATATGTCATATATGTGTAAGTATATTTGTTATTTATATATATTTATTCGTTTATATATGTAATTTTAGTATGTATGTATATCAATAATTAGTAGTACCGCATTTGTGTATTCTGACACTTCCCTATGGTTGACTGGGAGAGAATGCTTTTAGCATTAAGTCCGCCATGTACACATATATGTATTAATGAATAAATAAATAAATATATACACATTGTCTAATTATATTTATATTATATTAATGAGGTGTATAAAATTATATTATTTCTTTTTTAGTGTTGTCGAATCTAAGCCGCAAAATCAGCCTGAAGCTTGTGAAGTTTGTGGACTGCCTCAGAGATTCATACTTTGGAACGTTGCAAAGGTAATTTCTTGTTTTAATTATGTATTACACGGATAACATCAGAAATGAAATGAAATGAAATGAGTTTATTTGCATTAAACAGTTTAAAATTATTACAAGCCACGTGGTATTATTTTGGCACCTGTTTAATTGCCTTCAAAGATGTAGGCATGCAAATATTTTACATTTTAAATAAAAAAAAAAAAAACCGGTAAACAAAATTATAATTCAATTATATTATTTAAATTGACCTTACATATTAAAAGTCTAGATTATAGTACATTATGTCATTTATACATATACCTACACATAACAACTAATACAATAAATTTACAAAATAGAAAAATGTCAATAGAAGGAGTAAAAAATAATTAAAATGTCACGCTTAACACTCAAGAAAATTCAGAAATTATTTATATACAAAAAAAAAAATTATTATTACATATTTATTTATACACGATACGACAACATAACCTTCAAGAAAAGACCATATTCCTTTTTAAAAGGCCGGCAGCACACCTGCAATGCCGTAGGTGTTGTGGGTGACCATGGGCGGCGGTAGTCACTTACCATCAGGTGAGCCGCATGCTCGTTTGCTCCTTGTGTTGTAAAAAAAAATATAGACAACATAAGGCCCATTCTGTTAGTTATAAATTTACTTAACCTATATATATATATATATATATATATATACTCGTATATATATAATGGATGATAATGGAATGGTAACCCCACCCATGCTATCGGTATTCACCGGTGAAGGATGATAGGTGAGGATGAAGCAGGTCAGTTAGCCCATCGTGACGAATTCAACAAGAATTGTTCACGATGGTTTCCAGGGGGAACCACGTGGAGGTCGACCTAATAGGGCATATTGCTAGCAATGGGGCTGTCAAACTCCATTGCTAACAATCCCTTTCTCCCCACTTAACCTATATTAGTAAATGAGCGGTTATGACGCTCTTGCTTATGTTGTTTAGCCTCCTGCTGTCACCTATCGTATTTATTGTACCATGGCAACAAGGAGGGTTACCATTCTATTTAAAGTTGTAAAAAAAACTACGTGGCAGATGCCTGGACTCGCTGGAGTCGTCGTGCCGGCAGGAGCTGGGCGGGCGGCCGGCCACCGAGGCGATGCGGCGGCTGCTGTCGGTGGCGCGGCAGGTGGACCTGCAGCCGTGCGCCTCCTTCTCCCTGCTGCGGACCATGCTCGAGTCGCTGCGGAGGCTGTTTCACAAGTGAGCGTGCTTCTAGCGTCTTGCAAATCATCGGGCTCGCCGTTTTCATAGATAGATAGATAGATTTTTGTTTATTTTGTGATATATACATAGGTAACAATGGTTGGTAAAACAAGATAAGTCCTCTATGATTAACCTCATATATCGAGGTATACAAATTTGCAATCATATTAGAAAAAACAAATTATATAAAAAGAATCAACAATGTCACATTTATAGTAAAAAATTATAATATTATGGAAATTTATTGCATTTATCTTCAAGGAAATCGTCAATTGAATAGTATGTTCTGTTTACTAGGGATTCATACAGTTTAGTTTTATATTTCTTTATGTCATCTATATCTGATATATATATATATATATATATATATATATATATATATATATATATATATATATATATAATTTGTTTACATTACATACAGCACATAAATTACAATAAACTCCTGACTACCCTTCTTCTAAATAGCGAATATAACAAACGCACACAATGTATTTTATTTATATTTCTTTATATTTTTTAAATTTTTTTTTCCAGTGACATGAAGAAAAAAAATTTTTATTAATTTTATGCATTCTGATTTTGTTTTTGTGTTTTTTAATTATTTGAACATGTATCTTTTTTTTCTTTTTTCACTTTGCATTTGTATTTTTTGCTGTATGTGTGCAAATAAATTATTTATCTATCTATCTATCTGTAAAAAACATACACATAATACCCAGTAAAAGGGATAAAAGTATGAAAATAAAAAAAGCAACAAAACAAAAAACCAAGATATATAAACTAACAATTTTCTTTCTTTCCTTTCCTGGGTCGATGTGCAGCCCTGGGTTTATATTATGACTACCACTAATAAGGAATGGTTGAATTTTACTGTTTTATGAATTTTTGGAGTAGTGTATTGCAACAATTGAAGTTTGCCCGGCGACAGGGTGTGGGCTGCGGGCGGCGCGGCGGAGGCGGCGTGCTGCGTGCTCAGTCCGCGCTGGCGCCGCCAGGTGGCGCTGCACACGCTGCACTCGCTGCGTGCACACCGCCTCGCGCGGCTCATCACCGCGCAGGTAATACCAGCCACCAGCCACCAGCCAATAACTGTGAAGGTCGGTTTGAAGGGTAGGATATGGCGGTGAATTTACTGGATACAGACGGACAACACCTGAGTCCTCAGGAATGGCAACGCATGGGGGGTATCATGGGCGAAACAGTATACTCTGTTATGTCCATGGTACTGCTCATGTCTATAGGCGACGGTTTTTTTAATGGATGATAATGGTATGGTAACCCGGCCTGCGCTATCAGTTTGTGCTGGCGAGGCACCAGTGAGCGATGAAGTAGGTCAGTTAGCCCATCATGACAAATTCACAAATGAATCAGTCACGATGGTTTCCAAAAGGAACTGTGAGGAGGTCGACCTGATAGGGTACATTGCTAGTAATAGAATTGCTAATCCCCATTACTAACAATCCCTTTCTCCCCTATAGGCGACGGTTACCACATTTTCAATCAGATGGGCCGTTAGCTTGTTTGCCATTATAAATTGTATAAAAAAACAGCAGCGCGGACGTCGCCAGATGGCGCTGCATATAGATTTCAAACTGTGCCTGCTATCATGGTCTTTTATGTATTATTTATTTATTTATTTTAAATAAAACAACTTGAAATGTAACAAGATTAACATTCACTTTACGAGTAACAAACAATCGAGACATTCAGGTGTTTTACAGGTATAGTTTTTAATTCTAAAATATTTAAATTTAGAATTCCGAACTGTTTCTATAAGTTTTATTTATTTAATTTTTTTTTAAATGAGTGAAAATGGAATGATATCCTCGCTTGCGTTATCGATATACGCTGGCGGGGCACCAGTGAGCAAATGTAATCTAAATTGGACTCTCTTTTCCGCGTTTAGTCTCTCATTTGGGCCGTTGTGCGCATGACACCATTGAGCAATAATAGGTGAAGATGTGACATGTCAGTTTGTCCATCGTGATGTATTCAAGAATTAGCCACTATGGTTTCCAGGGGGAACTGCATGGAGTTTGATTATTATTAGAATATATTGCCAGCGATGGGGTAATTTTTTTTTTGATGGGTGAAAATGGTATGGTACACCTGCGCTAACGGGATACGCTGGCGGGGCACCAGTGAAGGGTGATAGATGAGAATGAAAACAGGCCAGTTAGCCCATCATGATGAATTCATCAGGAATTAACCATGATAGTTTCCAGGGGGATCCGCGAGGAGGTCGACCTGGTTAGGTATATTGCTAGCAATGGGATTCTCAGTCTCCATTACTAACAATCCCTTTCCCCCCGCGATGGAGTAATTAGACTGTATTACAATCAATTCTTCTTCTCTCAATTGCAGATATTGGAAAGACTGACAGTGGCGCACGAGAGGTACCAGTCAGCGCTGTCGACGCTGGAATTAGCGCTGGAGAGCAGACTGCGGCATACGGAAGTCATCAAATTAGCTATAAGGAAAAAGTAAGTTGATTTTACCATAAATTTCTATAATTGATAATATCATCATCATATTATCAGGAGGAATAACACCTGAGTCCTCAGGAATGGCAACGCATGGGGGGTATCATGGGCGAAACAGTGTACTCTGTTACGTCCATGGTACTGCTCATGTCTATAGGCGACGGTTACCACTTTCCATCAGATGGGGCGTCAGCTTGCTTGCCATTCTAAGTTGTATAAAAAAAAAAATCATTGTGATATCAGCTGTGAACAGTACACTGTCGAACACAGTTGTACACAATCCAGTACTAAACTACGGACAAGCGCCCTCTGGTGTCATAATAAGACAACCAGTGATGTTGGATCGTTTCAATGCAAATTAAACAATAGCGCCGTCTAAATTTATGACAGCGCCATCTATTATTAATATGAGGTACTAAATTTTAATAGGTAGTCTACGAATGATATGTTTATTACGACTGCTTCACGTTAGAAACATGAATGGGACAGAGGTGCCCAAGCGAAAGTCACGATTGTGTATTTAAGAATATGGGTAAAGAAGGCGAAAGTTTAAAATTAACTATGATATGATTAAATACTGAAATATTTATGTATTTTTTTATTAAGTTATAATCATTTTTTGTTAATAGTGTTTAGTTTTTTTTTTTACAACACGGGGGGCAAACGTACATGCGGCTCACCTGATGGTAAGTGACTACCGCCGCCCATAGTCACCCACAACACCAACGGCATTGCAGGTGTGCTGCCGGCCTTTTAAAAAGGAATATGCTCTTATCTTGAAGGTTATGTTGTCGTATCGGTTCGGAGATACTGCTGCTGGAAATTGATTCCAAAGAATGGTTGTGCGTGGAAGAAAGTGCCTTGAAAAACGCACTTTAGTTATTTTTATTAAGATTAAGTTTTAAAATATTTATAAAATATATTTACAGATATGCACCATCATTTGCTCGACTCTGTCTCGAGAGTACATCTATGCGAGACCTACTTATGTACGGGATCCCAGAGCTGGGCAGAGAAATAGGTATGCTTTACTTAGTCGTGTTTTAACAAACTTTAGAAAAAGTTGCAGTTTTGATTTCGGTTGTAGTTTTTAAAAAATTAATTGGCGTGGCCACCATTGTATATATCCTGGGATAATCAAACAAGTTGATAAAGTGTAGTCTATGTCGTATTTGACGAGTATAACTGTTTATAGTAACAATAAATTAAGTAACAGACAGACTGCCTTATTATGGTCAGATTAACCCTCCGCCGACCGTGTGTTTTTTTTCTGCACACCGTCAACCGTCACGGACGATATCGTCCCAGACGATAATTTCACCTACTTGAAGGTAAAATTCCATAAAATTCGGGGCAATATGTTCTAGATTTCTTTTTTCTTTTTCCATAGTTTTTGACATGAATTGACACCCGCTGGTGAAATAAAATTTTGTAATCTCTACAAAAACTGTAAATTCTAAGATTTCACCAAAAAATCAATATCTTGGATGTAAATTAGTTTTAAGAAGGAATGTTTTGGAGATTTATTCCTTATATAAGCGCCTTTGTAAACCTTGTCTGTGAGGTGCGCGCGTGTGATTTTTACAGAAGGATTCGAGATCCAAATTTGGCGCGGACGATATTGTCCTGTACGGTTTAATTAATTGTTTGTTAAATTGTTAGTTGGTTGTATACTATATCATGAAACAACTGGTGATATCGTATGTGCCGCGTGTCCCCAGGGCGCGGGCAGTACGGCGTGGTGTACGCGGCCCGCGGCGGCTGGGCGGGGCACGCGCCGGCCGCCGTCAAGTCCGTGCTGCCGGCCGACGAGCGCCACTACCAGGACCTCGCCATGGAGTTCTTCTACACCAGGCGAGATAACTGTTTAAAATTATAAACTTTAAATAAATAGATAACATACTGAAAAGAGTTCTCCGTGTGTGGTCCCGGCATAGAATGGACCACTCCTTCCTTTCCCGTGGGTGTCGTAGAAGGTTACTAAGGGAGGGCGAGAGATGGACAGCAGCGTCTTTCTTAAAACATCTCTAAAGCTTTTTTTTTTATACAACTTAGAATGGCAAACAAGTTGACGGTCCACCTGATGGAAAGTGGTAACCGTCGCCTATAAACATGAGCAGTACCATGGACATAACAGAGTATACTGTTTAACCCTTAGATTCCTTTTCATTAGGTCCTCTATGTCGAACCCTTATGTTCCTTTGCATAAGATCTTAGTCTTCGAACCTTAGGTGGTTCCTATGATTGTCTATGACAGAGCATCCTGGCGCCGCTGTACAACTCGACTCGACTCCAAATAGTGCTGGGAATTAGGTCCTCTTCCAGAGTTCGAAGAAGAGGCTCTAGTGGGAAGTGGTAACCGTCGCCTAGAATCATAAACATACTAGGAATGTGTAATAGTTACACCAATATCAAAACTTCTCTTGTTTAGCAGATAAGTAAGATAAAGACAACCTGAGGGCTGTTTAAATATTAATTTAGAATTTCAAGAAATTTATAAATTTTTTACTATAAAATTATAAAATAAAGTAAAAATACTTAAAATTAAGTTAATTTTAAGAATCAGATCTGGTCACTATCCATCAAGAAAGTTTGCATATTTAATGAATAAAGAAAATTCACTAAATTGCATTGTCTGTGGAAAAGTTGAAGATGTACAGCACCTATTGATGGAATGTGATAGCAACCGAAGGGGAAGGGAAACATTATTAAAAACATTTAATATTAATAAATTTGATGTGGAGATTGTTCAGAGCATAATGCATGCTCCTACTGCCAAAATTGTTTTGTGCTTAAGTGAATTAGTAAGTAGTATTGTTTAGTCATAATTATAATAGTAGATAACTTGTTTAGATTTTGTGGGATTGACATGTTAAAAAACAAAAATCCCAAATTAAACGTAGATTAAGAAAAAAAAAAAAACTTAAGTACTGGCTGCCGTACACGGATATCGATAAATTGACTTGTCACAGATTAGTCAACAATCTATTATATTGTAATTATTTCTATATTTAAAAACCAGTGCTACAACTATGAACACCACAGTGTATCTTGTGCACATACGTTGTTTTCTCATTGTGATTATTTCTTGTAATTGTTTATATTTATAATAGGTTTACTATTGTAATCTTTTGGAGGAAACAATAAAGTGTATCTATCTATCTATCTATCTATGTCTCGTGTAATGCTACTCCCGGGAAATAAGCTGTTATTGTTCCATATTGTATAATTTTATTACAATTTTCCGTATCATCCATATCATAAAACTGAAGCAGAGTGATTTAAACATAGCTGTTTGACAGTTGTTACACAAGAAAGAAAAAATATACCCCTGCATACATTGTGCGTCGTACAAAGGAATTTAAAATGTCGCAAAGTGTAACTAGATGGCGCTGTTAAAAATCTACATCGCGCTATTATTTATCCTTCATTGCTTTTTTTTTGTTCGATTTATATTTAAATATTTCCTATTTTATTAGGGAAAGGGATTGTTAGTAATGGAGACTGAGAATCCCATTGCTAGCAATATACCCAACCAGGTCGACCTCCACGCGGTTCTCCCTGGAAACTATCATGGTTAATTCCCGATGAATTCATCATGATGTGCTAACTGGTCTGTTTTCATTCTCATCTATCACCCTTCACTGGTGCTCCGCCAGCGTATCCCGTTAGCGCAGGCGGGGTTACCATACCATTTTCACCCAGCAAAAAAAAAAAACCATACGGTATTCTCTACTAGTAAAACTATTAGGTAAAAACAGAGAACGTATGAGGTCAATAGTGGCGAAGATACATTACACAAAAGAAATGCATCTATTAATATAAATTAACTTAATAAATGTCATTCTGAATTATATATAGTATAAATATATAAAAAAAAATATGCAACTCGGAATGGTAAACAAGCTGACGTCCCACCTGATGGAAAGTTGTAACCGTCGCCTATAGACATGAGCAGTACCATGGACATAACAGAGTATACTGTTTCGCCCGTGATAATGAACGTATGGGTTATACGTTGCCATTCCTAAGGACTCAGATGTGATCCTATAATTCCATTCCCATATCTGGCCTTTCAAACCAAAACAGCTATATATATATCTTATATATAAAGTTCTCGTGTCATGGTGTTTGTTACCAAACTCCTCCGAAACTGCTTTACCGATTTTTATGAAATTTTGTGTACATATTGGGTAGGTCTGAGAATCGGCCAACATCTATTTTTCATTCCCCTCAGTGATAAGGGTGACCCACCCCTAAATATTTTTTTTTAACAAAATTTTTTAATTTTATTTTATTATAATTTAGTATTAAAAATACATATAACTTTAAATTTTCATTGTTTTACGATCAACCCCTGTTTTTTAATCGCGATTTTTATATGCCGCAATAGGGTTACAAGATGGCAATCGAATATAATAATTGTAGTAGGATAAATTTTCATGTATAGTTTTCGAAATAATGTATATGGTAAAACAACGTTTGCCAAGTCAGCTAGTATATATATATATATATATATATATATATATATATATATATATATATATATATATATATATATATATATATATATATATATATATATATATATATATATATATATATATACTAGGTGACTCGGCTAGTATATATATACTAGTAGTTTTATTGTACTAGTATGTCCCCGCAGAAGTATCCCGCCGCACCCTCGGATAGTCCGGCTGCTGGGCTCGGTGCTGCAGCGAGGCGGCCCCGCGCCCGCCGTGCTGCTGCTCTCCGAGCGGAAGGTACAGTCCTGTAATCGATTATTAAAAAAAAAAAATAATTAAAAAAAAAATAAAAAAAAAATTAAAAATTCTCAAAAGAATTTTTATACGGTAAGTATGTTGTTTTTTTTTAAACAACTTAGAATGGCAAACAAGCTGACGGCCCACCTGATGGAAAGTGGTAACCGTCGCCTATAGACATGAGCAGTACCATGGACATAACAGAGTATACTGTTTCGCCCATGATACCCCCCATGCGTTGCCACTCTTGAGGACTCGGGTGTTATTCCTCTGTACCCTGTAAATTTACGCCATAACTTCAAACTGAAACACAGCCATGTAAACACAACTGCTTCACGGTTGAAACTCGAATGGGACAGAGGTATCCAAGCAATCGACTTTTGTACAAAGTCTCCCTCAAAATTCATTGTATTGTAAACTCTTGCATACATATATGTCATGCCTGTCTCCCATTAGGGTAGGCAGAAACAATGGAACGCTAAATGCTTCGATTCAAACAAACCTCTTTCGCTTCCTCCACATTCATCAATCTTTTCTTTTGGTACTTTTAATTTGGCACTTCTTCAGCACGTCGCCTATTTGCTCGACATACGTCCGTCTAGGGCGACCTCTACCGACATCTCCATTCATTCTTGCTCGATAAATCTCTTTCGTAATTCTTCTTTCATTTATCATCTTCCACTGATGCCCCGCCGGTGTATATCGATAGCGCGGGCGGGTTTACCATTCCATTTTCACCCATTAAAAAAACAGCAACCACTTAGTGCTAGTTTTAAATTCAATGTACATTTATCAAGGTAATTTTTTTTTACCAGACGCGCGATCTTCACACCGCCGTGCGAGCTGGACTCTCGTTTGCAGCCCGCATGAGAATCGCCTGTGATATTGTCGAAGGTATAATATTTATTTATTTATTTATTCTTTATTGTACAATAAAAGTTTGTACAACTGGCGAGCTTAATACCATATGGCATTCTCTACCAGCTAACCAGTTTTTTTTAATGGGTCATAATGGAATGGTAACCCTGCCTACGCTATCGGTATACGCCGACGGAGCACCAGTGACGGATGAAAGGTGATGATGAAAGCAGGTCAGTTAGACCATCGTGGTGATTCCACTAGAATTAACCACGATGGTTTGCAGGGGGAACCACGTGGACGTCGACCTGATAGGGTGTATTGCTGGTAATGTTTTTTATACAACTTAGAGTGACAAACAAGCTGACTGTCCACCTGATGGAAAGTGGTAACCGTCGCCTATAGACATAAGCAGTACCATGGATATAACAGAGTATACTGTTTCGCCCATGATACCCCCCATGCATTGCCGTTCCTGAGGACTCAGGTGTTATTCCTCTGTACCCTGTAAATTCACGCCATACCCCATCCTTCAAACCGAAACACAGCCATGCAAACACAACAGCTTCACGGTAGAAACAGTGTCAGTTAGACTCCATTACGAATAATCCCTTTCTGAGAAAGAGGTTTCTTCAGGGTCGGCAACGCGCGCGTAATGCCTCTGGTATTGCAGGTGTTCATAGGCTACGGTAACCACTTACCATCACGTGGGCCGTATGCTTGTTTGCCACCTCAGTGGTGTAAAAAATAAATATTCTATTGTGGAATCAGGTATCCGTTACCTTCACTCCCTGGGCTTGGTGCACCGGGATATCAAAATGAAGAACGTTTTACTGGATAACGAGGATCGTGCCGCGCTGTCAGACCTGGGCTTCTGTGCAGCGGAGGCGCTGATATCAGGGTCGCTGGTTGGCACCCCGGTACACATGGCGCCGGAGCTGCTGGCCGGAGAGTACGACGCCTCCGTCGATGTTTACGCGTTTGGTATACTGTTCTGGTGAGTTTCATGCCTCTTTTAAACTGCACATTAAGGTTTTAGAGTTGGGTATTTTACAGGTTTTTTTTTAGTGGATGAAAATGGAATGGTAACCCCGCCTGCGCTATCGGAATTCGCTGGTGGGGCACCGGTGAAGGATGATAGGTGAAGATGAAACAGTTTAGTTGGATTATCGTGTTGAATTTTTTAAATAATAACCACGATGATTTCCAGGGGTAACCGCGTGGAGGTCGACCTTTTAGAGTATATTGCTAGTAATGGGCCTGTTAAATCTCACTACTCACAATCCTTGTCCCTCCGGGTTTTTTTTTACAGCTGTCGCATAGTCGCGGCGTACAATGGGGCACCACTTCATTTCCCATGGGTGTCGTAAGAAGCGACTAAGGGTGGGCGAAAGATGGGCCCCTCTTAAAATATTACCAAAGCCTAACTGCGGATACCAAGGCGTAAACTTTGTAAACCAAAGCAAAACTCCTCTTATGGGGGAGACCTATGTTCAGCAGCGGACAGTTAGAAGCTAAAGTGGTGATGATGAAGAATAAAACAACACTGGATTACAAAGCGTTTACTGCTAAAAATTACTTTTCTTAGTGTAGTATTTTGGAAATTATTGTACCTAAGGTTGGCAACATTGGAAAATGTAATTAAGCGAGTCTGTCATGGCGTCCTTCAATAAAAGTACATATTCATTTTATGAGCAGTTTTTTTTTATTATAAAGAAGAGTTATTTAAGCGTGCAAAGCACATCTAATGTTATACAACATTATATTTAGTATTTAGGTTTTTATCACAATTTTAGTGTAACTCCAAAGAGTTCAACCACGACGGAGTTCCCCGTCAGCAAAATGTTAAACTGTAAACCGTAAATTTGGGATTGTTCTGCTGTTTATAAAACACGAAACGAGGGCAGCCATGATTAAAATATTAGTAAACACGTGTAGTGTATATCTAATATATAAAATTCTCGTGTCTCGGTGTTTGTTACCAAACTCCTCCGAAACGGCTTTACCGATTTTCATGAAATTTTGTGTACATATTGGGTAGGACTGAGAATTGGCCAACATCTATTTTTTATACCCCTCAACGATAAAGGTGACCCACCCCCAAAATTATTTTTTATTTTTTGACCAATTTTTTATTTTTATTTTATTTTGATTTAGCATTGAAAAATACATACAAATTAAAATTTTCACGGTTTTACGATCAACCCCTGTTTTTTAATCGCGATTTTTATATGCCGCAATAGGGTTGCAAAATGGCCATCGAATATAATAATTGTAGTAGGATAAATTTTCAAGTATAATTCTCGATATAACGTATATGGTAAAACAACGTTCGCCGAGTCAGTTAGTATATACATATAATATTATGTTACAGGTACGTGTGTGCAGGCAACATAAAACTGCCGATGGCTTTCGAAACGTTTCAAAATAAGGAACAGCTGTGGAGCAAAGTGAAACGAGGTAATTGTTATTTTTTAAAGTCAATAATTTATTTATTTATATCTGTGGTACATCAACAGATTACAAACAATACTTTTACCAATAGAATACAACAATAGTTTAACAATAAGTTTACAATCCAATTATAATTGAACTCAACATTCACAGAGGTGAAACAGCATACGTTGATTTTTAATACAAACCAAAAACAAAACTACCAAATTATGCTTCTAAGCTATTGCATTATCAGTGTATGCAAAGTGCTTCGATACGATGAACATTTCTGATAGAATATGCCAATATCCGATTTACAATCAATGTGTCATTGTACAATTTGCTTCTTCTGTATATTGAATTATTATGTGTTGTAGTTTATAATTGTTAACAAGATTGTTTGTGACTTTTTTTTTTGTATATATGACGTGTCAATTACATGCAATATTTCCGTATAGTAAAGATTCATGTGAAACAGGCCTGTTCCTCCAGCCTACGGAGGAGGCCTATGTTGAACGGTGGATAGATAACGGATTTTTTTTTTATATTATTTTAAGGGCTTTTACCTTTTTCAGGTATATCAGTCCTGTTGTACCCTGAACTGATTTCTCATACAAAACTTTATCTACTTTCCCTGATAACTAATAAACGAATGATGTTCATGCAAACAGGATAAAAATAGACCATTTTGTCTATCGTGACAAATGTAGCAAGCCATAACCATGACAGTTTCCATGGGTTAAGTCCTGGCGAATGTTGATTTGACTTGACTTCATCTATCATCACTTAGCCATCATTCCGCTGGCGTATTGCTAGCGCTTAGACTAGATGGAGTTACTATTCTATGTTTTTTTTTAATGTGATAATGGAATGGTAACCCCGCCTGCACTAACAGTATACGCTGGTGAGGTACCAATGAGTGATGATAAATGAATCCTCATCTATCATCACTGCTTTCATCCGAATGCAGTTCTTTTGGCCCATAATAACCAATTCATAAAGTATTTATCAAGATGGTTTCCAGAAGGAACCGCGTGGAAGTCGACCTGAAAGGGTATATTACTACCAATGGGGATATTATATCTCCAATATTAACAATCCCTTTCCCCCCAACTATTCTTTGTAAATCCCATAAAGGACCTCATAAAATCACTTACTGATAAAGTACATAATGTATTAAACTATACACTAGGTCTCCGTCCAGAGCGGTTACCACACTTTACGAACGAATGCTGGGACATAATGGAGTCGTGCTGGGCTTCGGAGCCCACCCAGCGGGCGTTACTCGGCGATGTCCAGCCCAAACTGGAAAGGATCCTCGCCCGAGCACTACAAGAGGATCAGACTCCTGTCAGTACCTGTAACAGTGATGATCAGTACGACTCTGATGACAGCTTGAACATGACTGGTATAGAACGTGCTATGAACACTATACGATAGGTAATAAGGTCTAATTTTAATCGTAATACGAATGTTGCTGTAATATACTTAGTGGTACATAGAATCATCCACGTAAAACTGTATTCCTGTGAGATTTAAAAAAAAATTCTCTCTTAGTTGAGAGCGTTCTGAACTTTAGCGCGAATAAGTGTGGCAACGTCGCAGTTATCTGTCAATTTTAAAAAATAATTTAATAATTGATTATTAAAAAAAAAGATAAAAAAAACCCAAAAAGCTCACTCAAAAGTGGTGTATTTTTTTACAATACAGGGGGCAAACGAGCATGCGGCTCACCTGATGGTAAGTGACTACCGCCGCCCATGATTACCCGCAACACCAACGGCATTGCAGGTGTGCTGCCGGCCTTTTAAAAAGGAATATGCTTTTTTTTAACGTTATGAATAAACTGATTACCTATTAATAAACGTATAACCTATTAGTTTAAATAAAATAATAAAATACAATTATAACTGCTACCTAATAATCTATTTGAAGTCGGTGCCAAGTCCAAAGAGAATAAGAACCTAATAGGTTAAGTCTCTAAATACGTCAAACTTTTAGATCTATTTTAGCTATTGAAGTGTTCAAATCGAGTACAGATAGCTTTAAAAAAAATTCACCCCTTTGAGGAGTATTTTTTTAATTTCTCTATGGGATATAAGTTGATCTAGCTTAATGTAGAGCAGGATGGATGATGTCACCGTCTCGTTTTATCTCTTACGTACAGTGACTTAAACAAGCAGAGTTTTTCCGGTAAAAAGTATGTTATAGCAACGTTCATATGTGATATGATTTGGAAACTGGAATTTATACCCTATTTTGTATGAAATAAAGATCAAATTGTCTATAATTTTGTATTATAGTGATTAGTGACGTTCTTTGAATTGTTATTTTCTATTATTATTTTATTACTGTTTCTATGTATGATATGTATGTAATGTATTATTAATTAATAAATTTTAAACTTTACACATAAAGAGTTAAGAATTAAAATTCATAGAAAATGTTGTCACAAAATCATAAATTGTAAAAATCTTATGAATATTTATAAATATTTTATTAATGTATATTGTAAATTGAACTTTAAAACAAAGTTGAATAAGTTTGAAACTTATAATTCAATGTGCAAATATTGTCTCGAAATAAAATGTACTTATTCAAAATTATATTTTTATAAATAATAATATATATATTGTTTATCGTTTTAAACGCTTTTAAATTAATTTGTTCTTTATTATTGTTTACTGAAAGTCGAATTTGCTTAAATGAAAAAAAGCAATAATTACTCTAGCCAAAGAAGATGTTGGGTCGCATTTGAAAAGAGCCGTATTTGTAAGGGAATAAGTATTAGAATCCAATATCACTGTGAAATGTTATTAAAATGAAATTATACAATTTTATTTGTTATATTTACAAACTATATATATATATATACACGATCACAATATTTTTTATACTAATAAATGGCTATTAGCCAAGTTGTATATATAAAAATAAATCCAACATCACGCTACTTTTAGAATTAACCCCGTCTACCATCAGACGGGCCGTATGCTTGTGTGCCACCATAGTTGTATAAAAAATACATTATTTTAATACTTCACAATATGGTCCACTGCTGAACATAAGTCTTTCCCATAAGGGGAGCTTTGCCAGTAGTTGCCACGCTTGGCAGGCGTGTTGGCAACTGCAGTTAGGCTTTTACAGATGTTTTAAGAGGGATACTGCTGTCCATCCCTCGCTCTCCCTTAGTCACCTCTTACGACACCCACGGGAAAGGAAGGGGTGGTCCAATCTATGCCGGGACCACACGGCAGAATTTTATCTTTAATGAATGATAATACATAACTACACCTTTGCTATCGGTTGACGCTGACGGGGCACCAGCGAGTGATAGGTGAAGATGAAGGCAGGTCAGTTAGTCCATCGTAGCAGGTTCGACGATTTGCCAGTGAATTTACAGGGTACAGAGGTATACCTAACACCTGTGTCCTCAGGAATGGCAACGCTTAGAGGGTATCATGGGCGAAACAGTATACTCTGTTATGTCCATGGTACTGCTCATGTGTATAGGCGACGGTTACAACTTTCCATCAGGTGGGACGTCAGCCTGTTTGCCATTCTAAGTTGCATATATATATATATATATATATATATATATATATATATATATATATATATATATATATATAACTTAGAATGGCAAACTAATAATAAAATAAGATCATGTTGTTTGTTTATTGGTCGAGTGAGTGGCGCAAATATTGTCAGATTTGCTCCCTTGGGTTTGTTTGCGAGTTGGTACACCTTTAGAACTAAGCTTGTTTGTTCTGTTAATTTTGTCTTGATCAAATTAAGACTTTAATTACATATATATATATGTATATGTATATATATATATGTATATATATATATATATGTATATGTATATATATATATATATATATATATATATATATATATATATATATGTATATATATATATATACATATATATATATATATATATATATATATATATTTTATCTGTGATTAAGTGAAACTTGTCTATGAATTGTGATTACTATAGGTTTTTTTTTTTTTTTAAATATAATTCGATTGACTTATATGTATTTCTATTGAGCATTTATCAGCTCGGATCCGAAACCGGTCGGGCATTCCAGACAGAAGCGTGTAAGTCAATCCGGTTATGTTTACAAATGAAATATTATGTTTATTTTTACGACTCGTAATTATAAGTGTTGCTAAATTTGGTATACGTAATGCAATCAAAATTTTTTTAAACAGTATTCTTTTGTTTCGGAGCTTTAATCCTTTATATGTTTCTTTTAAGACTCCATTACACTATTAATGATGTGAAAAAAGGGGAACAAAGAACCAACAGGGGTATTTTTTAATAAACACGACATGGGAGTTTTTAAGAAAATAATTTTTTTTTACAACACAAGGGGCAAACGAGCATGCGGCTCACCTGATGGTAAGTGACTACCGCCGCCCATGGTCACCCGCAACACCAGCGGCATTGCAGGTGTGCTGCCGGCCTTTTAAAATGGAATATGCTCTTTTCTTGAAGGTTATGTTGTCGTATCGGTTCGAAAATACTGCTGCTGGAAGTTGATTCCAAAGAGTGGTTGTGCGTGGGAGAAAGTGCCTTGAAAAACGCAAAGTGGAGGACCGCCACTCGTCCAGATGGTTGGGATGAAACTTTAGTTTATGGCGGGTTGTACCTTGTCGTTGTTATATATGCCTTTTTAAAAGGCCAGCAACGCATTGGCGATCTTTTGGGCTTTCTCTGTTTTACATTATGGTAGACATGTTGTAGTTTTTATCTATTGTACTAACCTTATGGTGTCTTCTGCCCTATAAAATTGGTTTTATTTAAATTGGTTTTTCTTAGCTAATTTTGTAAGATTGTCTCTAGTAAAAATCTGCTGTTTTAATTAAATGTGATTTACTATAAAAAAAAAAAAATAAAATAAAATTCACATCTCCCCTCTTAAGGAGAGGAGATGGTAAACTAACCCCCGTTAGAGACCAGCGGGTCTACCATGACATGAAATTCCGAAATTTTTAACTCAATTTCGTGTTTTTGTTTATACCAAAATCGGACCAATAAATGGAGTTTAACATTTCGTCCGTCATACATCCTATCATAAAAGTCCAAAGGAACAATATTTTAACATTTTTAATATTTCCAAACGGCATGTATTATGTAATTTTAACATCATATTTGTGTTTCGTTTGGCTCCGAAATTTCGGAAAACATTTCATGGTAGGTACTTAGGGTCTTAGGGAGAGAAACCTGCGTGCTATGTGGGAAGTATCTAAAAGCACCACCTTCTGCATCTACCCCATTTTTTCTTTATTATATTTACATATAGTTTTATGTTCTTGATAGTGTATGGAGTCTTAATTTACGCCTCGTCCGATGCGCACGAGTGCAGAATAATGGGTACGTGATCCTTTAACAAAATACCTATAACATTACGTTTAAAGTTTCCATACGATGACACGTTAGTTCCTAAGACAATATTTATAAGTTGCGCCTAACTTCATTATTAAACTTGTTTCAACTATTAAACCCTTGTGTTTTTTTATCTGCCCCTTCTGTATGATTGTCTGTATAATTGATTGAATGAATCCTTACTAATATAATAAATGTGAAAGTTTGTGTGTTACCTTATTATTTCAGTCCTTAACTGTCCATTACTGAACATAAGCCTTTTCCTCTTAAGGGAAGTTTTGCCAGTAGTTGCCACGCTTGGCAGACGGGTTGGCAACCGCAGTTAGGCTTTTAGAGATGTGTTAAGAGGGATACCGCTGTCTATCTCTCACTGCCCACCCACGGCACATTGCATTGATCTAGTATTTGCCAAGGAGAAGAACAATGACTACTTTTATTCTAAACAATCAATAATACTCCTTCAGATTTCGTGCTGCGCAACTGTGGAACAGGCTACCTGTTGACATACGGGACAGTCCTTCCATTACTTCCTTCAAGAGAAGACTGAAATCACACCTTTTACCCAATAGTACATGATAATTCTATGCACTTTTACATATGTATATATATATATATATATATATATATATATATATATATATATATATATATATATATATATATATATATATATATATATTATATATACTTATTTACGCATTTATCTATTTATGTATTTATTCACAATTTGTGTTTGTTGTATTTACATTATTTTCACCGGTACCTTTCCTGCACTGGATTACCCAAATTAAATTATTTTCTCTCTAACTACACTGGGTTGGCTGGAAGAGATCTCTTTCAGAGATAAGCCCTCCCTTGCTAACAAGTTGTTAAACTAATCGTCGCATGTATTGTTTAAGTGGAATAAAGAATATAATATTCCCATCACACGGACGAAGCCGCGGTTAAAAACTAGTAAACTCATACGTTTAAAATAAGGTTGGAAATTCGTACGAACGCTCGCAATATTATAAACACAATCTTCGCTGTTCCCTTGGGGAGGTGTGCAAAACATGACGGTTGGCGACTGACCCTTCGCGCAGAGCTCTTTGTCACGACCAGTTGTTAAAGGGCATGTATACACGCCGAGGAGGGAATGATAAATTGATCTTTATTTTTACCCGATTGAAGATTGAGGAGTCACGTTTTTAGGTAAATATTTTTTTTTATACGATTTAGAGTGGCAAACAAGCTGACGGTCCACCTGATGGAAAGTGGTAACCGTCGCCTATAGACATGAACAGTACCGTGGACATAATAGAGTATACTGTTTCGCCCATGATACCCCCCATGTGTTGCCATTCCTGAGGACTCGGGTGTTATTCCTCTGTATCCTGTAAATTCACGCCATATCCCACCCTTCAAACCGAAACATGGCCATGCAAACACAACTGCTTCACGGTAGAAACACAAATTGGACAGAGGTAACCAAGCAATCGACTTTTGTACAAAGTCTCCCTCTGGTAAAGAGTGTTTGACGATATGTATACGGAACACTATGAAACGGATTGATAGATTTTGACAAACGAGACGTGCGTGCGTGCGTGCATGCGTGCGTGCGTGCGTGTATTTTTAATGGATGGTAATGGAATGGTGACCCCGTATGCGTTATCGGTATACATTAGCGGGGCACCAGTGAGGGATGGTAGGCGAGAATGAAGCAGGTCAGTTAGTTACAAAAGCATATAAATAAAATAAATAAATAAATAGTTTATTTTAGTTAATATTATCGCATATTCTTTAATTATATCATTGATTGCAACCCCTTTTGTATTTGTGTAGTCTCCCCTAGCAAAGATAATCATAATACGCACTCATACATTCGGGCAGCAGTCGCGGGTTGACGCGGTCATTTCATTCAAATTTGATTAACATAATCCTGTATGTGGGTCACGCGTAGAACACCGCTCCAGGACTGTAAATTACAAAGCAGGATGCTGCGAGTGGAAGCATATTAAACGCATCTAACTATACTCCACTCGTTATTGCATTGTGTGAGTGGTAAATCACTAAAGTCATTGATAAAATAAGTACCTTTTTTTTATACCACTGAGGTGGTGACCACCTGATGGTAAGTGGTTACCGTAGCCTGCAATACCAGGGGCATTATGCGTGCGTTGCCGACCCTTTTTATCCCTTTTTTGAAATAATAACGCACTTATATTTATTTGTTTACATTAAAAGGTACGTCAATAGTTTAAACACAGATATTTATAAAAATAACATTTCAATTTTATAATGAATGGGTAAACTGATAGTCACATTCAATTTAGTATTAATATCTATACTATTTTTTTTTTTGCTGGGTGAAAATGGTATGGTAACCCCGTCTGCGTTAACGGGATACGCTGGCGGAGCACCAGTGAAGGGTGATAGATGAGAATGAAAACGGGCCAGTTAGCCCATCATGATGAATTCATCAGAAATTAACCATGATAGTTTCCAGGGGGAACCGCGAGGAGGTCGACCTGGTTGGGTATATTGCTAGCAACGGGGTTCTTAGTCTCCATTACTAACAAGCCCTTTCCCCCATCTATACTAATATTATAAAGCTGAAGAGTTTGTTTGTTTGAACGCGCTAATCTCCAGAACTACTGGTCCGATTTGAATAATTCTTTTTGTGTTGGATAGCGCATTTATCGAGGAAGGTTATAGGCTATAAATCATCACGCTGCGACCAATCGGAGCGAAGCATCAGTGAAAAATGTTGCAAAAACGGGGAAAATTATTCATATTTGAGGGCTTCCGTTGCTTGCTGGGTAAACAGTTTAAGTTACCCAAAAAATATGTATGAAAGAATTATTCCTCTTTAAATGGTCTAAAAAACTGTCCGCGAGAGTATATGTTTATCTTTTAAGATTTTTTTTTTACAACAGGGGGCAAACGAGCATGCGGCTCACCTGATTGTAAGTGACTACCGCCGCCCATGATCACCCACAACACCAACGGCATTGCAGGTGTGCTGTCGGCCAACATTGAGTCATTATAACATTTTTATGATAATCAAATTTGGTCGAAATTAATGCATTATTGCCAATTATAATTGGCAATAAATAATTATTTGCCAAAGAGTTTTATCAACATAATAATATTAATCTTTATCATAATAACAGAAATTGAAACGAACGAAGTCGCGGGCAACAGCTAGTTATTGATATAATTGCGTATCTTGAAACAAGTCACTCTAATGTCCAAATTGATGGCGGCGTGGTGGACCGGTTCGTTGGGCTCCCTATAATATAATATTATAGAGGGAAGGGATTGTTAGTAATGGGGAGTTTAGTCCCCATTGCTATAAATATACCCTTTCAGGTCGACCTCCACGCGGTTCCCCCTGGAAACTATCGTGACCAATTTATCATTGAATTCGTCACAATAGGCTAACTGAACTGCCTTTTCATCCTCACCTATCACCGCTCACTGGTACCCCGCTAGTGTATACCGATAGCGCAGACGGGGTAACCATGCCATTTTCACGCATAAAAAAATATATTATAGGTATATATATATAAATATATAATATATTATAAATTTAAAAGTGAGTTTATTTCTTACCCCATGCCTTAAAGCTCAATCAAAAGAGAAAGAGATAGCGCTACTATTTATCTCAGTCACGCGGACGAAGTCACGTGCTAAAGCCAGTAGATCATTAAAATAATACATTCACCAACGAGCTATTACTTTTTATTCAAATAAATTGAAACTTGAATTTACCTTTTTAATAACGTAACGCCACCTTTCGACAGAAACCGAGGGAAAAGATAAGGAAAATACGTTCCGGATTGTATTTCTCGTGAAATCAAGAGAATCTTGTACAAATAACCCGTGCTCAAACTCGCTGAACCCTCGTTAGGACACCAACTTCTATCGCTCAAAGAATAAACGGGGTTAAAACAGAACCGTTTTAGATAGGTACTGATGGATATTTTACAGAGAGAAAACAAAATGTTTGTATTATGCGTAAATCGAAAAAATTTGGTTGGATAATGTGTTAACCCTTACACCGTGAAGGTATAAAGAAAGTAACCTAAAACCACCTGGCACAAGAGGGCGACACTTTTGGTTGATGACGAAGTAGATGCCAAAGTCATCAAAAAATAATGTCATAAAAAGTATAACATGATTGTGTGTTTGTATGTATCTAAAATACTAACTGTTAGGACCTACTAGTCCAGTAATACGAAGCCACACCATTTATTTATTTTATACTTTATTGCATAATTTATGAAATAATACAGATAATTTTAATAATATATATATATATATATATATATATATATATATATATATATATATATATATATATATATATATATATATATATATATATATGGCAATATGATGCTCACAGCCACTTTCTACCATCATACGGCTTGCCATCGACATGGAGTTCATCCTCATGTTGTACTGCGCGGTTTCAGAGATGTTTCCTCCCACGAACACTCAGGTTGTGGAATGAGCTCCCTGCCGAGGTTTTCCCAAGAGACTAAAGCATGGGGTTCTTCAAAAGGGGGGTAAAGAGGTTTCTTCAGGGTCGGCAACGCGCGCGTAATACCTCTGGTATTGCAGGTGTTTATAGGCTACGGTAACCGCTTACCATCAGGTGGGCCGTATGATTGTTTGCCATCTAAGTGGTATAAAAAAAAAAATAATAAAAATAAGAGGCGGCCTTATTGCTAAACAAACTCTTCCAGACAACCTTTGGTTAGAGGATATTTAGAAAAAAGACAAAGGGTAGGTAACGCATTATTATTACATTATACTAATATATACAAACATATACATATACTTAATAGCATATATACAACAGAAGAGTGGAAGATCAAGGAAGAACATAGGAAAATAGTACATCAAGGGAGAGACAGTAGGACTTGACAAAGGTTTTGAAGCTAGCGAGAGATTGAGCCCACCGAATAGAGGTAGGTAGTGAGTTCCACAGGCCAACTGCCAGTACAGTAAAGGATTTGGAATAAAAGGAAATGGACTGCGCGGGAAATTTGGGCCGGAAGTTATTAACACTGCGTGAAATATAGCCATTGGTCATTTATATTTTGTTTTGTACATAATTTAGCCGTTCT